TCCCCACCCCTGCCCTGGCCACCAGATCCCATGGCACTGCCCCACAGGACTTCCCACTGTATGTGGGATGTGGTTCTAGCAACTTTGGGGATCTCAAAGGAAAACCACAAGTGGTAATGTTTCTACCATCCATGGTGCCGCAAATAGGAAGCTGTTCTGGCTCGTACCCTGTCATTTATCTGATGGCGCCTCTCTTGTTGACACGGAGACCATGTCCGGTGTTTTGCTGTGCTTTTCACTCTCACAGCCATTCATCTGTTGAGATCTTGCACGTGCCCGCAGCCCATCCCTCCCCCGGGTCACTTCATGATGGCAGCCGAGGCTACTGAAGACAGCCTCCTAAGCCACGTTGCCACCAGCCTTTAAAGCCAGTGAAGCAACAGGAGACCGTGGAGACAGAAACCAACACCTGTCCCAGGGAAGCAGGCTGTCAAGACATGCTTGAGGGGCAGTTGCTAAGGGCAAGTCCAATGCTGTCGGGTTTCTGGAGACAAGTCATCCCCTCAGAGGACGTGTGCTCAGTATGGGCAACGTGTGAGGCCCCGGGGCTGCTGCCCTGCCCTCCTCCTGGGCCCAATCTTGTCTTAGGTGAGTTCCCCGGACTGCTCCTGTGTGACATTCCATTGTCCCCAGAGTGTGTCCACTGCCAATCCTCCGAATCAGGTTTTCACTGCAGCGTTGACCAGGTGTGGGCGCTGGGCAGGGCAGTGAGAGCCGCTGGTGTAAGAGATCACCAGTCTCCAGATCTGAGATTGAAGAGCTCTGCCCAGAAGTGAAGGACACCCCTTTCAAACAGAGGCTGCTCCACACTAAGAAATGGTGTGGCCGCGCTGGGCAGGTGGCTTTGTGAAGTGAACCAGAACCCACAACTTCAGCTGTCCACAGGCACAGCCTGTCTGCAGACATCAGCTGATCACAGAGGACAAATGAGAGCCACAAAAGCCACCCTGACTCACTTTTCAGCTGGACTTACAAGGCCTGCGGCGTCACCAGGATTAGCCTAGAGAAACGTGGGTTCCTGGCTGCGTGTCTGCACAGATTATGGGCTGCAGGTCATGGCCCCAGAACTTAAACCTTTGCCACAGATGCTTGGTGTTGAACCAACCTTGCACGTCTGCCACGGACCCGTGGGGAGCTGGCAGGTGGACCAGACCACGCCCTTGTCTTCAGAGACATGCATGATGTCTTTTCCGCGGGACCAGGTTCCCACAGGACAGTGACGATAAACTCCAGGAAAGGGAGGGTTTCTGAGCCTGAGAGATGAGTGCTGTCCAACAACAGCTGCTCTCGGGAGCTCTTGGGGGGAAGATTCGTGGCCAGTGTGTCTTGGCCACAGAGCTTGCCCACATACCTGCCGCCCCCCAGGACACAAATGGTGAATTTCACCCTCCCATCTCTGGTTCCAGAAGATGCTGCTGGAATCTCTCCTGCTAGTGACTGGTTCACATCAGACCAACACGTTGCCTCGATTCTGGGCGCCATGTCCCAATACCTCCTTCAGCTGCTTCTGTGTGGTGCTTAGCCAGGGACCCAGGAATTCACCTTCAACATGAGAGCAGGAAGGAGGCAAAGATGTTTGACCTCCAGCTTCCACTGGCCCAAAGGGTCACCTCTTGGGCGACCACAGCTGGTGGCACATCCCACCTACCTGAGGTTCACAGCCTGGCACAAGCAGGGCATGTGGGGTTTCAGGAAGGAAAATCCCTCAGGCAGTTGGATTTTCTTTTTGGATTTTGTTTTGTGCCTGG